GATCTTTTCCTTTAATTCTTTTATGATTGAAAATGTTTGATTTGGGATTAGTTTTCCCCTTTATTGCCCCTAGCTGCACATCTTAATGTGGTGAATTTTCACCTTTGCCGTGAAGACCGGTTCATTGATTGGGTGAACCGTACTTGAAGCACTTTCTAGTGGGATGTTTGAACTACGTTTTTTTTTTAAAAAAAGTTTTATTCGCCATATTATGAAGTTTTATTCTTGAAAGTTTAAATTACATTTTGATATTTTTAAACCTCTTTTTGAGATTGAATCGGTTATTTTTTATTTTATTATTTTTTTTTTAACGAGTTTTAAACACTTCTAGGCCGATGCACTTACGATTTCGCTTTAAGCCTTATTAATTTAACTTTGTTTTAAAAAGTGGATCAGCCTCTTTTTTTCATTTGTTTTGTTTGTTTTTTAACAGTCAAGTTAAAAATGAGAATTTCTGATTTAATTATTTTCGGAAATGATTCATGATCTTAAAGAAAAATATGAAGAAAAGAGAAAGAGAGAGGAAATTAAAAACGAAATTTGCTCTGTTAACATGATAGAAATCTAAGGAGGAGATAGGATAGCAAACCATTTATCATTCTTTTTGCATAAAAAAGATGAAATTGTAATTGGAAGAATAGTTGAGAGTTGGAAGAAAGTAAGAGTTTAAATGACGATTAGGAGCATGGATTGAAAGATCAGTAGACTTGCATTTAGGCCTCTTAAGCTTTAAATAAACTTAAACCCAATTGCTTTAACTAGAATTGAAACACATTTCACAATCCTTTTGTCAAAATTATAGGTTCACCCCTAGGTCTTAGGAGTCTGATAGCGAGCTAAGCTTGATCTAAAAATGTTCGATGATTAGTTGAAAGACACTTAATTAAAGATAGACACTTTAGAACACATTAGGCTCAAACTAAAGTGTAAGTTTCCTAGATCTTAGGAGCACACCCTAAGAAAGAGTTCATCATCCTAATTTTCAAATGAACCTAAGAAGCCAGACATCTGACCCTAGTTCATAAGTTAATTATGACATTAGACACGAGGGTGCACTAGATTGTGATTCATGACTGATTTAATTAAATCAAATAATGAAATTCTTGTTTTAACTTGACCAAAACTGAAACAATCCAAAACTGAAACCCAATGCTCCGGGATTTGAGCTTGAGTCTTACACTCAGATCCTCCTGGCAATTTGGGACATTTCCAATATCACATATAAATCTCTTATTCTTCGTCATTTATATGTGATATTGTATTTTCTTTCATTTGATTGTCTTTTTCTTACGATTTGTTTGTTTTCTCAAGTTTTTCAGGTCATGTTTTCTCCTTTTGTACAACGCATACTAGTTAAACTTAAGGGAGCAGCAAGACGAGCAGCAAGGGAGCAGCAAGACTCCCAAATATACATGTTTGATTTACATTACAGCATTTTATTTCTTAGCACGTATACTTTTCCTCCTATCATGTATACTATTTTGCATAGCCTGCTGTACCATTTTCTAGTCTGCTATATTGTTGCCTGTTATGTTATTTTTCTAACATGTATACTGTTTTGCATAGTTTGTTATACTGTTTCTTTAGTTTGTTATAGTATTCTCCTGACATGTAATATTATTTTTTTCTTTTATATATCACACGATTTATCTGCTTTGATATACACTATGTCTTAGTATAGGATAAACTAGTGGTTAGGTGCATTTTCAAAACTAAAACTAAACCCGAAAATGCTACGACGAAGAGCTTGGAGCGAACATCGTGGGCAGCACGACGAGGAACAACTTCAAAATGGATCTGCAACATCAAAACAGATTCACATCACCTATCACCCTCTTTAGTTTAAATAACAACTCATAGGATCACCTTTTAGGTTTTTCGCACAACCCTATTGTGTAATTATAATTTCTAACACTTTACGATTCTGAGATTATCGTCCGGTACTGTGTAAATTCTTTTATCTTTTTAGACTATTTGCACGATCGGATATCATGCAAATATAAGTCCTAAATTCTAAATAATTTGCAGGATTAAAATATCAAATAAGCATCATTTTAAAAAAAACATAAAGCCAAACAACAGGATAGTTGGGAAGTCACCGGGGTTTCTCTCCGGATCCGTGATATCCCCTACTCTTCATTCCTTTGGATTCCTGCAAATAATTGTTCATGTTTGAGCCACTCTCATTTAATTTTCCTATGTCCAATCTTGAAAACCTAAACTTTAAAATTTTGAAGGTAAAACCACTTATCTTAATCGAGAATTTTATTAAATGACCCAAGTCATTTAAGATGTAATTAACTCTAGGGATATGCCTCTATAGGGAACTTGGAACCCAAGTAAAATAAACTCTATCTCTATCTAATATCTAATATTTATATTAGGTAGGGGAACTTGTTAGCCTCATATAAAATATTTCGCAGACCAAACGGATGTTACAAATTCTTTAGTTTAGATGATTGAATTCCTATTACAAGTGATATATTTATTCTTCGGGATAAGTGTATTACTTGTAGTATCGTATTCAATCATCTAAACTATTTAAAATGTGAGACTCGTTTGGTCTCACCTATTTTAAAATTAAAATGTTACTTTTAAAAATTAAAAAGGTTATATTCATATTTAAAATATTTTCAAAATCACAAAATCATCACTTTTTCAAATTATGAAGTTAAAACGGCCGACAGTCGGCCCATGAGTTAACAAGTTAAGTCAGGGTTGGCTTGAGCTTGGCTTATTAGTTCATCAAGCTTAGCTCACGAGTCACCTATCGAGCCTAGCCCAAGCTGGCACACAAGTCAGCATAGCTCACTTACACCCCTAATAGAGATCACCAACACTCTCAAATTCATCTCAGCAAAAAAGTGTTTCAAGTGCCACAACTTCGGGCATATTACATCAAATCGTCCAAACAAAATTATGATTGTTTTCACTAAGCAAAGAACAGTTGAAGAAATAGACAATGACGCAAAAGAGAATAAGGATGTCAGAGAGGAGTAATAACTTTTAACAAAAGACAAAGAGATGCTAGTTGAAAGCTCCTTCAAACTAAGGCTATGAGAGAAGCACAAACAGAGTTAAAGTTGATTGTCTAAGGTGACATTGAGTCCAAAGAGCTGATACCCGACACAAGATAGCCTACACTAAGAAAATTGTCGGATTCCTAGACTAAAGCTTACCATCTTGCTTATTGCCGCTGAGAGTGGTTCAATTTGTTAGATATTTCATTTCCGAGTCGATATCTCTAGATATACTCGTTTATCGTATGCACCCAGCCGAGTATGAGGAGTATGAGAAGCAGATTATAGACTTAAGGGTTTGAAACTTGGCTCTTGAATATACCCATATATGCACAGTTTTAACTGTGGTTGTGCCAAAGAATGTTAGTTATTTATTATATCAGAACAAATTTGGAATAACATGTGTTTTAGAGTTGCATGGGATAGATGTGTATATAAATTTTGTAAAGAGATTGCCTTGAACACGACAAAGCAATGACTTTGCCATGGTGGTGATAGATCGGTTCTAGGAGATTCCTATGGAGAAGGCCAAGCCCTTCATACCAGAGGAGAGTGTGTCAATGCGAGACCTCTCGGGACACGAAAACCTCGAGATTCATGATAATTTGAATGACCAGGCTCCATGACGTGCTAAACTCCCGAAATTTGTAACGTGTAGAACTCCTGTAATCTGCAACACACAAAAATCCTACGATCTGTGATGCACAAAACTCGATGTGATCATGGGAGTCAAGGAAAGTCATTTTTTTATGTTTTAAGCATGTTTTTTCTTATTTTAAATTTTTTTTCCTATTTTTCGCATTCTAATTAAATTGTTTTCTATTAGAGAACTTTCATATATGTTGTATTTTGATTGTTTGAAACTTTTAGCTTTACTTCGAGTATTTGGATGTCATAATCTCTATTTTCTACCATAATGAGTGTTGTATCATCTTGCTTTTGCAAATAGTGTGTTTGTAGCTTGTGCAAAAATGAGTGGTGAACATCTTCGCTGTCTGTACATTGTCGTTTCTTGATTTCCAATCATTATTTTCAGTCAGGACAGCCGTCGAAGGATGCCTATCCCTGCCCAAAAGTAGTTAACTCGTGTATTATTATTCTCTCCCTATTCCACAACCATATCCCCGTTAAATCCGCTTCCTAAACACCTTCTAAGAGCCCCTAGAATGGTATCAACATGACTTCCAGAAATTGCAAGTTACTCCTGATTGATAATACTTGTTTAAAAAGTGACTAATGAAAGAAAAGAAGAGCTATCAGCAGAAGCTAGGTTGCTCAATTAGTGAACAGCACAAATGAGCTAACAAAGAAACCCGGATATGATAATAGTACAGTTGACTACAAACTCTAACATCAATACAGGACTAGATGTGAAAGAGCTCCAAAACCAATTTCTAATATGCGATAAAAACCAAACTGGAAGACAATATATGGATGTTACCAATCAACAGTAATTGTCATGAGCAAAGTGTTAGCAACTAAAGATAAAAGATGCATCCAGATCCAACTATTCCAGCACCAAATCACTAAAATCTCAAGTAGCACCGCAATCCCTGATCGCAGGGCTCAGCAGAAAAGGAAACAGACCAATAAAGAAACTGATCAATCTCAACACAATACATAAAGGAAGAAAATTTTCAAATCAATAAGCTCTAATCTCGTTCCAGATAAACTAGCTAAGGTCGAAAGTTCTTTAGGACAGTCGAAAAATCACAAACCACAAAATCGACCACGGTCGAACCTTTATAGCCGGTATCAGCCGCATGCCACGGATGAACAGAAAAACAAAGAACCACAGGCACCGGAATAGGGAGAAGGAAGGCAAGTAGATGGCAGGATCGGAACTGGAACCAAGGAAAAACGCAGCAAACAAATGCAGGAATCTCGTCCCTTCCGATCCAATTATTAATAAATAGGGTATAACAGCAATTGTTCGCACGTTGCAAAAAAAAAAAAAAATCGAAAGTCTACGATTATAACCTGACTCCAATGGTGTTCCCCGAGGAAGCGACCACTCCGAAAAGAAAAGAAGAAGACCGCGATTTCGTGGTAGGACAGGACAGCGCAGATTCGATCGAACAAAACCCTAGGAGCTGGATGGATGACGCGCCGGGATCCTCGATCGAACCAGAAGACAGCACCACCGAAAGGCAAAAGGGCGGTAAGATAATAAAATAAACAAATAACATTTTTCTAATAAAAACCAAATTTGTTAGAAAAGCAGCCGAACAAATCACGATGCTCCAGCCATGCCACATTTTAAAGGGGGGCTAATATGTAAGTTTGCGGCCAGCCATTTGCACGGCTTTTGGATTCTAATTTCCAAAATGAGTCCAATTTAATCGGGCCTATATTTAGGCTTTCCAAACTATAAAAATAGAAATAATAATAAATTGCATGTATGAAACTCGAGACGAACTAACCCTTTAAATAGGAAGACTAAAATGCCTTGTACAACCTCTTTTAAAAAATAAGGGTAATTGTTTCATCTTATATTTTGTCCATTCTATCTTTTATAAATAGGAGGAAATGGGTTTTAGAGCCCGGGGAACACTCCATTTGCCCCGACGGGGCAGGTCTTTTTCTTTCACTCTTTCTTTTTGTCTTTCTCGATCACGAGACTCTATCTCTTGGGCATTATCGGATATATCTAGATTCAACATACTAAACGTTCGGTGAGCGTGGATTGTGTCGGCAACAAGAAGAGAAGCAACACCAAGGAGAAACCCTCCACAGAGGCACTCCTAGTAAAGAGCACACAATAGAAACTTGCACGATAGTGGATTCAGTCCATTTATTCCTCATCGTCGGCGATCTCTAAGAAATTTTATCTCTTTCTCTATACATCTACCAGAACCTCTTAAGAACTCATAAAATTTGTTATTTTTTTCAATAGATCCAATCAAGACAGAGGTGTGTGTGAAAACTATTTGCATGCTCAGGTTTCCAGATTTAGAGACTTCGTACGTTTCTCCATCGTTATCACATGAAAATCCTACACTTGTCATGTCCCGACCTTCTTACCTCGTTGACATTCGAAAAATCCCGCACCTGCCATCTCTCGACCGGCTTATCCCACTAGCGCATGAAAAATCTCGCACCAACCGGCTTTCCCCATTGTCTTGCAAGGAATCACACACCGGCAGGCTTCTCCTATTGTTGCACCGGCTGGCTTTCCCCACTATCGCGCAAAAAGATTCGCACCAGGTGTCTCTCAGCCAGCTCTCTTGATCGCACGAAGATTTGCACCAGTCATTTCATGACCAACCCCTGTATGTCCTAAGAAGCGTCTCCTCGTCAGCCATCTCTCAGTTGGTCCCTGTTTGTCCCAACAAACTTCCCCACGCCAACATTCTTCCAGCCGACCCCGTCTATCCCACAAATCTTTCCTTTGTCAGTCATCTCCCGGCCATTCCTATCAGTCTCATGAAGCTTCTCCGCTTTGGTCGTCTCCCGGAAGTCCCCCCCCCCCAGTTTGCTTTGTGAAGA